GAAGATCTCACCATCCCCCACCATGATCAGGTAGGTGATTATCACTGATAGTTATGATTTATACCGAACCATCTTTGTTGCAAGGAATGTTTTATTCTATTTCCAGAGTGGAAACCTCGAAGATTATAATATCGTTGTTAAAGAGGAGGATAAGAAGAAGGGTTTGATGAAGAAGCTTTCTGAAGGACACATGGACCTCTACATGGAAAATATGATGGAGCCACCAGAGAGATGTCCACGTCCTCAGAAAGATCACAAAATGGAGGATGAGGACGTCACAGCAGATTGTGCGGGAGAAGAGACAATGAGCTCAGCTATGGATGGTGGACGTCACAGTGTGGAGAGACCATGGAATCCCTCTGACTCTGAGCGACCTCGTCCTGTGGGGGATGGTGCCGGAATTCAGGGGGAGAAGAGGTTTTCCTGCCCTGATTGTGGGAAACATTTTAACACCAAATCAGGTTTTTCCGTGAGAAAGAGCGAGAAGCTCCATTCTTGCTCCGAGTGTGGGAAAAGTTTTTCTCATAAATCAGAACTCATCGTACATTACAGAACTCACACGGGGGAGAAGCCGTATTCCTGCCCAGAGTGTGGGAAAGGTTTTTCGCAAAAGTCCTGTCTCTCCAGACATCAGAAATTGCACACGGGCGAGAAGCCCTATGGCTGCCCTGAGTGTAGGAAATGTTTCTCGCGGAAATCGGACCTTGTGAAACATCAGAGATGCCACACGGGGGAGAAGCCGTATTCCTGCCCCTATTGCCCCATTTGTTTTTCAGATAAGTCCAGTCTTACCAAACACCAGAGACTGCACACGGGTGAGAAGCCGTTCTCCTGCTCGGAATGCGGAAAGCGTTTTCCGCAGAAATCAGAACTTGTTACGCACCACAGATCTCACACTGGGGAAAGGCCGTATTCCTGCTCTGAATGCGGGAAATGTTTTTCATGGAAATCTTGTCTTATCAAACATCGGAGGACCCACGCAACTCTCAAAGTGTCATAGTGTCCCCAGTGCGGGAAATGTCTCACACTGGGAAGAAGCATACCTTGATATACACCTCAGACAATACGTGGCTGAGCTCTTCTCAAGGAAGAGCTCAGAGATGACAAAAGACTTCAAAGTTGTGTCTGGCTTCCTCTGCTAGGAGAGAGGGGGAGGGGGGTCACTGCCGGTTGAGTCCCCCTGGCAGTGTAGTCCAATCTCCCTTTGCAAGTTCATTGATAAGTCAATTAGAGCCATATATCATTCCACCCGGAACTCCTCCGTCACAATCTCCAACCACAAGATCATCGCTCAGATCTCATCTGTAGGGTGGAGGGACAAGAGTTCCCTATTTGCCCACTAGGTGACGCTATATCTGAAAGGAAAACAGTTGTGACGAGGAGTCACCGTAGGCTTGAGTGCCACCCCTGCCGCTTCAGTAGCAGGTCATCTTGGGATGGGGCTCAAGTGATTATATGGGTTTTACCCATGGGGGATGTACGAGGACAGAGCACTTTGGTCAACCACCTTCATGTGGATGACCAAAGCCTCTTCATGTGGATGATGGAAGGAACCTTCATGTGGATGAGTGGAGCCACCTTCATGTGGATGACCAAAGCCTCTTCATGTGGATGATGGAAGGAACCTTCATGTGGATGATGGAAGGAACCTTCATGTAGATGATTGAAGGAACCTTCATGTAGATGATTGGAGCCACCTTCATGTAGATGATTGAAGGAACCTTCATGTAGATGATTGGAGCCACCTTCATGTGGATGATTGAAGCCCCTTCATGTGGATGGTTGAAGAAACCTTCATGTAGATGATGGAAGAAACCTTCATGTAGGATGATTGAAGGAACCTTCATGTAGAATGATTGAAGGAACCTTCATGTAGATGATTGGAGCCACCTTCATGTGGATGATTGAAGCCCCTTCATGTGGATGATGGAAGGAATCTTCATGTAGATAATTGAAGGAACCTTCATGTAGATGATTGGAGCCACCTTCATGTGGATGATTGAAGCCCCTTCATGTGGATGATGGAAGGAATCTTCATGTAGATAATTGAAGGAACCTTCATGTAGATGATTGGAGCCACCTTCATGTGGATGATTGAAGCCCCTTCATGTGGATGATGGAAGGAATCTTCATGTAGATAATTGAAGGAACCTTCATGTAGATGATTGGAGCCACCTTCATGTGGATGATTGAAGCCCCTTCATGTGGATGATGGAAGGAATCTTCATGTAGATAATTGAAGGAACCTTCATGTAGATGATTGGAGCCACCTTCATGTGGATGATTGAAGCCCCTTCATGTGGATGATGGAAGGAATCTTCATGTAGATAATTGAAGGAACCTTCATGTAGATGATTGGAGCCACCTTCATGTGGATGATTGAAGCCCCTTCATGTGGATGATGGAAGGAATCTTCATGTAGATAATTGAAGGAACCTTCATGTAGATGATTGGAGCCACCTTCATGTGGATGATTGAAGCCCCTTCATGTGGATGATGGAAGGAATCTTCATGTAGATAATTGAAGGAACCTTCATGTAGATGATTGGAGCCACCTTCATGTGGATGATTGAAGCCCCTTCATGTGGATGATGGAAGGAATCTTCATGTAGATAATTGAAGGAACCTTCATGTAGATGATTGGAGCCACCTTCATGTGGATGATTGAAGCCCCTTCATGTGGATGATGGAAGGAATCTTCATGTAGATAATTGAAGGAACCTTCATGTAGATGATTGGAGCCACCTTCATGTGGATGATTGAAGCCCCTTCATGTGGATGATGGAAGGAATCTTCATGTAGATAATTGAAGGAACCTTCATGTAGATGATTGGAGCCACCTTCATGTGGATGATTGAAGCCCCTTCATGTGGATGATGGAAGGAATCTTCATGTAGATAATTGAAGGAACCTTCATGTAGATGATTGGAGCCACCTTCATGTGGATGATTGAAGCCCCTTCATGTGGATGATGGAAGGAATCTTCATGTAGATAATTGAAGGAACCTTCATGTAGATGATTGGAGCCACCTTCATGTGGATGATTGAAGCCCCTTCATGTGGATGATGGAAGGAATCTTCATGTAGATAATTGAAGGAACCTTCATGTAGATGATTGGAGCCACCTTCATGTGGATGATTGAAGCCCCTTCATGTGGATGATGGAAGGAATCTTCATGTAGATAATTGAAGGAACCTTCATGTAGATGATTGGAGCCACCTTCATGTGGATGATTGAAGCCCCTTCATGTGGATGATGGAAGGAACCTTCATGTGGATGATGGAAGGAATCTTCATGTAGATAATTGAAGGAACCTTCATGTAGATGATTGGAGCCACCTTCATGTAGGTGATTGAAGGAACCTTCATGTGGATGATTGAAGCCCCTTCATGTGGATGATGGAAGGAACCTTCATGTGGATGATGGAAGGAACCTTCATGTGGATGATGGAAGGAACCTTCATGTAGATGATGGAAGGAACCTTCATGTAGCTGATTGAAGGAACCTTCATGTAGATGATTGAAGGAACCTTCATGTAGATGATTGAAGAAACCTTCATGTAGATGATTGAAGGAACCTTCATGTAGATGATTGAAGGAACCTTCATGTAGATGATTGAAGGAACCTTCATGTAGAATGATTGATGGAACCTTCATGTAGATGATTGAAGGAACCTTCATGTAGATGATTGAAGGAACCTTCATGTAGATGATTGAAGGAACCTTCATGTAGATGATTGAAGGAACCTTCATGTAGATGATTGAAGGAACCTTCATGTAGATGGTTGAAGGAACCTTCATGTAGATGGTTGAAGGAACCTTCATGTAGATGGTTGAAGGAACCTTCATGTAGATGGTTGAAGGAACCTTCATGTAGATGGTTGAAGGAACCTTCATGTAGATGGTTGAAGGAACCTTCATGTAGATGGTTGAAGGAACCTTCATGTAGATGGTTGAAGGAACCTTCATGTAGATGATTGAAGGAACCTTCATGTAGATGATTGAAGGAACCTTCATGTAGATGATTGAAGGAACCTTCATGTAGATGATTGAAGGAACCTTCATGTAGATGATTGAAGGAACCTTCACGTAGATGATTGAAGGAACCTTCACGTAGATGATTGAAGGAACCTTCACGTAGATGGTTGAAGGAACCTTCACGTAGATGGTTGAAGGAACCTTCACGTAGATGGTTGAAGGAACCTTCACGTAGATGGTTGAAGGAACCTTCACGTAGATGGTTGAAGGAACCTTCACGTAGATGGTTGAAGGAACCTTCACGTAGATGGTTGAAGGAACCTTCACGTAGATGGTTGAAGGAACCTTCACGTAGATGGTTGAAGGAACCTTCACGTAGATGGTTGAAGGAACCTTCACGTAGATGGTTGAAGGAACCTTCACGTAGATGGTTGAAGGAACCTTCACGTAGATGGTTGAAGGAACCTTCACGTAGATGGTTGAAGGAACCTTCACGTAGATGGTTGAAGGAACCTTCACGTAGATGGTTGAAGGAACCTTCACGTAGATGGTTGAAGGAACCTTCACGTAGATGGTTGAAGGAACCTTCACGTAGATGGTTGAAGGAACCTTCACGTAGATGGTTGAAGGAACCTTCACGTAGATGGTTGAAGGAACCTTCATGTAGATGGTTGAAGGAACCTTCATGTAGATGGTTGAAGGAACCTTCATGTAGATGGTTGAAGGAACCTTCATGTAGATGGTTGAAGGAACCTTCATGTAGATGATTGAAGGAACCTTCATGTAGATGATTGAAGGAACCTTCATGTAGATGATTGAAGGAACCTTCAAGTAGATGATTGAAGGAACCTTCACGTAGATGAAGGAACCTTCATGTAGATGGTTGAAGGAACCTTCATGTGGATGACTGAAGACACCTTCATGTGGAAGATTGAAGCCACCTTCATGTAGATGTCATCTAGTGGACAATTAGGGCAACCACACGGGAACTCTCGTTCCTCTACCCTACAATACTATGCAGCACTTGTTGATGTTCCTCCGATGAACGTGAAGGTCAGTACATCATCTCTATGACACATGTGATGCCCAGTGAAGAGTCGATGACTAGAGCAGTGTCCAGTTCTTACTCACCAGCCTTCCCCTATGCGTCTTTGTTGGGTTGCTCCTCCTGAAATGCGTAGATGTGTCACCTGAGGGTCGGCTTGTGATGACTTCTCCTCCAGATGGGAAGTTTCTCTACACAGGGAAGGTCACGTCTTTTCCACACGAGACAGCGCTATGGCGATGCACCTTCTACAGCTTCCTTCCCTCCTCAGTAGATGACATATAGACGCTTCCTGAAGGCATCAAAAGATAGTTGAGGAGAACATTCGGTTGGATAAAATGCTAAAGTCGCCTGTTACCGAAACGGTGACACACTCACCTTGCCCACAGATCACCAGGGATGTGGTGACAACCTAATATGCTCCCGGAAGAGAACTTTGGTTTTTGCCCCTCACAGCCACGTGCTCATACATAACGCATCTTCGCTGGACAAAGAAGCTATGCAACATTTTTTTTTTTTAATAAACACCTTTTGTAACTCTCAGAAAACAGTGGGTGTGTCTGTTTAATTAAGGGGTGTGGCTTAATGTGAATGCACATGTTAAAAAGGGAAAGTTAAAAAATTATGAGTTGGCTAACTGGGCCTGGGCATGACAGATGAGTGAGCGGCTAGGTGGGCCTGGGCATGACAGATGAGTGGCCGGCTAGGTGGGCCTGGGCATGACAGATGAGTGGGCGGCTAGGTGGGCCTGGGCATGACAGATAAGTGGGCTAGGTGGGCCTGGGCATGACAGATGAGTGGGCGGCTAGGTGGGCCTGGGCATGACAGATGAGTGGGCTAGGTGGGCCTGGGCATGACAGATGAGTGGGCCTGGGCATGACAGATGAGCGGGCTAGGTGGGCCTGGGCATGACAGATGAGTGGGCTAGGTGGTCTTGGGCATGACAGATGAGTGAACTAGTTGGGCTT